ATTGTTCATCCTCTTGCTCTCTAATTTCAAGTGTCAATTTACTCATTTCAGCACAGTCCATTATTTTTCGGATAACTTCTAAGATGATTAACCATATGAAGAACGGTTGAAGGATTTGGGTTTGGCTAGTCTAGAGAAAAGAAGAATTAAGTCTTCCATTATTTGGGGGGGATGCCCCGAAGAAGAGGGGGGGGCACTTATTCTCCAAAACACCCGAGGAGGGTAGAACAAGGAACAATGGATGGAAACTCATCCAGGAGGGAAGCAATCTGGGATTAAGGAGGAATTTCCTCCCAGTGAGGACAATTAACCAACGGAAGGGCTTGACACCAGAAGTTCTATGGGTGCTCCATCACGGGAGGTTTTTTTAAGAACAGGCTGGACAGCCACTCGTCTGCAAAAATACAGGATCTCCAGCTTTGGCGGGGGGTGGACTAGAAGACCTCCAAGGTCCCTTCCAACACTGTGATTCTATATTCTAAGTTGTGGCTGTTCCATCACTGGAGGTTTTCAGGAAGAGACTGGCTTGGCCTTTGTCCAGAATGAAGCAAGGTCTGCTTGAGCAGGGGGTTGGACTAGAAGACCTCCAAGGTCTCTACATGCCTCTGATTGATTGATTGATTGACTGAAATGGTCTGTCTCCTGCTTGAGCAGTGGGCTGGACTAGAAGACCCCCAAGCTCCTTTCCAGCTGCATTCTGATTGATTGATTGATTGAAATAGTATAGGGTCTCCTGCTTGAGCAGAGGGTTGGACTAGAAGACCTCCAATGTCCCTTCCAGCTCTATTCTGATTGGTAGATTGACTGAAATGGTATGGGGTCTCCTGCTTCAGCAGGAGGTTGAACTAGAAGACCTCCCAGGTCCCTTTCTGCTCTATTCTGATTGATTGAAATAGTATAGGGTCTTCTGCTTGAGCAGGGGGTTGGACTAGAAGACCTCCCAGGTCCCCTTCTGCTCTATTCTGATTGATTGAAATAATATAGGGTCTTCTGCTTGAGCAGGGGGTTGGACTAGAAGACCTCCGAGGTCCCTTCCAGCTCCGTTCTGATGGGAAGAAGAGCTGTCTTGTGGCTTCTGAAGCACTTACTGTCCGGTGCGGAAGGGCTGTCCAGCCTCAGCTCCATTGGCATTTCCAATTTGTTTTTCACAATCAAAGCGGAACGAACCGTGATGACCTTCCGGGCGCTTCCCTCCATGGTCACTGCAAAGACCACTCGAACTGGAGGCAATGAGGAAAACTGTAAAAAGATACATATTTTATTTATTTATTATTTTTTAAAGAAAGAGAAAAAATGGAATCCATTTTGCAGATACGGTGGACACAAACACCCCCCAAATTCTACAACCGCTCGCACCGACTTTTACGTCCCCAATGATTTCCCTTATTAAGACGCACCGTTTTTTTATTTTTTTAAAAAAAATGAGAAAATGTTTCTGCCTGAACGTCAATTAAATAAAAATGCAACACCCTCCCACCACTCACCACTCCCGTTTTTATTGGAGCTCTTGCCTCACCATCAGGAGCTTTGTGAGTTCGATCCTAGGTAGAGGCAGATATTTTTCTCTCTCTGGGCACAATGAGTATATATATATATATATATATAGATAGATAGATAGATAGATAGATAGATAGATAGATAGATAGATAGNGCAGTACTGCACCCTAACCACTGCGCCACCTCGGCTCAAAAGCGGGAAACGTTTTCTCCCTCACGAATGTCACAACGTCTTCAACTGCCGGAGAAATCTCCAGAGCCTTTGCCAAAAGTTGAGTTCAGCAAAAGAATTAAACCAGGATGATGATGATGATGATGATGATGAAGAGGGGGAGGAGGAAAAGACTAGGCGCTGCGAAGAACCAATGTTTTCTTTTGGCTAACCTCAAACAAACTGACTAGGATGATGACAAACACTGCTGGCCTTTTCTGTTTCCTTCTCTGCCCTTTTGGTTCTGAAGTCAGAGATACGTTTTTCTCAACCGTTCCAATTTGGGGAAGCATTTAAGTAAGGCACCGCCTTGCTTCAATCAAGTCCGAGGGAAAAAAAACCCAAGCTATTTCGCTTTCCTGTTGGGTGAAGTGATTTGCATGCTTTGCGGAGGCATTTTAGATCTGTTTTTTTTTTTTTTTTTTTTTGCTGAACGAAATGCATCACGGTTTTTTCCCCCCCAGGGATCAGTGGTGTTGCTAAATCGTAAATCACAGATTGATCTGATTTAGCATACGAGAAGGAGCAACCTGAGGCCGAGTCGAGTTCATTGTAACTCCAAGACAACTAAATTTATCTAAAAGGTAAAGATAAGGCTATCTAGATGAAGCTTAAACTCTCTGCAAGTGTGAGAGTTTATGCGTAATTTAGATAGCTCCGATCTTTAGATAGATGCCCATGTGTAACTTCTTCAGACCTGCAAAGCAACTTTTTAAAGCGTCTGCTTAAGAAGCCACTAGTAAAACCCAAAGGGGTTTAAATGTGATTAAATCTGGGCAATTCTATACTTTATTTTCCATGCCTCATGACTGTCCCAATATGATAAAAGAGATCTATTCCACATGTTTATATGCAACATGGCACATAAACATGTGCAATCCTATTTCTCTGGATGTGTGGAGGTAAAAAGCATAAGGTAAAGGTTCCCCTCGCGCATATATTCCCCTCGTTCCCGACTCTAGGGGGCGCTGCTCATCTCCGTTGCAAAGCCGAAGAGCCAGCGCTGTCCGAAGACATCTCCGTGATCATGACTCAACACCGAAGGCGCATGGTGGGAACCAAAGGTGGTCCCTATTTTTCTACTCGCATTTTTTACCTGCTTTCGAACTGCTAGGTTGGCAGAAGCTGGGACGAGTCACAGGAACTCCCCCCGTTATGCGGCGCTGGGGATTCGAACCACCCAAACTGCCGACCTTTTCTGATCGACAAGCTCGGCATCTTAACCACTGAGCCACCGCATGGAGTAAAAATAAGGATGGGAAAAAAAACCCACCTCTTGGCGTAACCCTCCCTGCTAACATGAGAAGAAAGTTTCTGCGCAGATGGGGAAACAAAAATGACAATGCTTTTGAAAATAAGGTCTGAATTAGCAAGGGGAAAAAGAGAGGGTGGAAAATAAGATTTGGCCCCATCGGCCAGAAAGAGAGAGAAAAAGAGAGAGAGACCCACCACCTAATTGTACCTGTAGACACAGCTCCGGCTTCTGGGTGAATTCCGAATTGGCACCCGCCAGTTAGGCCCCAGCGTGGCATACAGCCGTCCCCTGTTTACGAATTCACACGTTAAGTTCTTTGGTTAGCAGGCAAAACGCGAGGCAACCGCCCCGCCCCCTCCCCAAAAAATTAAACACACAAGAAAAAGCGCGCCGAACACAATGGAATCACGTCTTACGTCCTCACGGTTTTTGCACCTAATGTGTAAACTACGTAAGATGAGCGTTGAGTCGGAATTGGAATCAGAGGTCCGCTAAGAAAGGGAGGAAATTGTAGGAGCTGTTCCTTGGCGACTTTCTTACTTCTAAGCTTCACAAGGATTTGGAAGAGCTGCTTGGGAATAAGAGAGCTTTTTTTTTTTTGGGGGGGGGGGGGATG